TAGTTTTCACCGATTCTGATGAAACTTGGTGTGATCATTGGAATTGATAAGATCTCGGACAAGTTCTAACTTGACGCATTTTCGATGAACGGTTTTTGAGTTATTGACCTTGACTTTGTAAAAACGCATCAATATTTGTTAAAAATAGTTCGTGAGCAGGATTGAAGCTACAGTTTTCAACCGATTCTGATGAAACTTGGTGTGATCATTGGAATTGATAAGATCTTGGACAAGTTCTAATTTGACGCATTTTCAATGAAAGGTTTTTGAGTTATTGCCCTTGACTTTGTAAAAACGCGTCAAAATTTGTTAAAAATAGTTTGTGAGCAGGATTGAAGCTACAGTTTTCAACCGATTCTGATGAAACTTGGTGTGATCATTGGAATTGATAAGATCTCGGACAAGTTCTAACTTGACGCATTTTCGATGAACGGTTTTTGAGTTAATGCCATTAACTTACGAAAAACGCGTCAAAATTTGTTTGTGAGCAGGATTGACGCTACAGTTTTCAACCGATTCTGATGAAAAGTGGTGTGATCATTAGAATTGATAAGATCTCGGACAAGTTCTAACAAGAGATATTTTTGATGAACATTTTTTGAGTTATTGCCCTTGACTTTGTAAACACGCGTCAAAAGTTGTTTTTTGCCCTTGATTAGAGCTGTGTGATTTAATTGTTTAATTCGTACTTTAGTCACTAAAGACTGTTTTATTATTTCTGACAGCTGCCAGTGGGCGTATGTTACCTTGCAACGCAAGCTATCTTTAAAAGTAATGGCGTGGGGAGTTGTCTTGACTGGCAAAGTTTCTAGCGTATTGCAAACCATGCTCTGCGGGCTTTCTTTAATTGGTTGATATATGCTGTTTTAAAGCTAGAGTTATTAGATATTGTTATGCCTAGATACGTATAGGTGTTAACAGTCTCAATGGGGAGCGAATTAAATGAAGTTTGGAAGTTAATTAAATATTTATTCTTTTTTTGGTAAATTATAAAATGTCAATGCTTTTGTTTTTTCAATGTTAACATTTAGATGCCAAAGTGAGCAAAAGTCAGATAAATGATTAAGTCCACTGATTATACTCTTATTGGCCCAGTTGGCCCAGAATTGAAATGTTATGAGGTAGTTTTGCTTTAATCTGACTACTTGTTTGTTATACTGTAATATAATAGTAGCAACACACAAGTTGTCATTTATAGTTTAATTATGTTTAAAAATATACCCATTATAGTAGTAAAAAATTATATGCTCTACTTTCTAACCTTGAAAATGAAAATAAACATAAATGAACTTAATTACTTTCTCTCTCATGTAGCATTTCTATGTATCATTAGGTTGGAAGGGGAGGAGGGTTGTGTTGTTTGTGCGTAGAGGTGGTTTTGATGTGAACCGCTAAACTTCATGATACTTGATGGTGTTAAACTTCATTTGTGAATTTAATTTTGGGAAAGGGATGGTTTTTTCTTCTGTTCTGATCTGAAATCAGATAAAATAATAAGTTCAGGGCCCTGTTTCTCAAAAACTCCTACAACTTCTCAAACGCCATCGTAAGTGTCACGAATAATCTTACGATAAAAAAATGTCGTACGATCGAGATGTTAAACTGCGCAATACCGACTTAGTAGCAGATGACAAATTGTCTTTGGAAGGTGAGGTGACAAGAAAATCTAACTGTACGAAAAATGAAAAAAGTAGTCTGTAGGCCTATTTTGGCAAGACCGTTTTCCAAGTGAAGATTTTTAAGTGCTCTAAAATTTTGATTCCACACTCAGTGAAACTTAATGATGACGTTATCGCTGTTTTGATGTCATCGCTAAAGTGAAGAAAATTGCTGCTGTCAACTGAGACGAAGGCGAAAAATCAAGAAGGTGGTCAGTGCCACTTGACAATTTCCTGCTCAGTCAAAGACACTTCGGGATCAAATCTGATGTCAAATGTTCCTTTTTTCCCATTAAAAACAGTTAAACATTGTGAAAAAAGACCATTTGGTTCTACCACCTGATAGTTACGATATATTTGATCACTCTTAAGTTTACACCAGAATTAGTCGTAAACGTATGATATTTTGATCTTACGACTTACGACCTACGATTTATTGTAAGATGTTTTTAGAAAGGGGCCCAGGTTTTTATACACCCTAACTGGAGATCCGTCTGTCCACATTTCTTGTACAGCTTTTATCTGATCTTGATGAAACTTGGTATGTATGTATATATTGATGAGATCTCGGTCAGTTTCAGAATAGGTAACAATCGGATGAATGGTTTCAGAGTTATTGCCCTTGACTTAGTAAAAATGCATTAAATTTGGCATAAATTTTTATCCGATCTTAATGAAACTTAGTATGCATTATATAAAGATTATTAGTTATAATTTCTGACAGCATGTAGTGTATGTTACCTTGTCTGGCAAGTTATCTTTAGAATATGCAACTATCTCTTTTGTTTATAAACATTCTCTTGTAAACTTGTTATCATCCAAAATGAAAAGAATTAAATTTTAAGGTTTTATGTTATTTTACTAGGATTCCTGTAATGGTTTTTGTTTTGTAATTGTATTAAATTTGCATATTTTCAGGAACATGTATTTGAAAAGAGAGGAAGATTTCTGTTACAAACTACAGTTAGTAACCAATATGGCGAACAGAGTAAAAACATCACAGTGGTAAGGTTGCTTAACTTTCTCTCAACCTGGTTACCCTGTGTCAGTGATTCAGGTGTGCAACAGGCTGTGCACTTAAAAGATCCCTTGGAAGTCCCTACAGTTTGAATCTAAAAAGAGTAGGAGAATGCTGCTTTCCTGGCAGAAGAAAGAACGACAATCTGCACAGTGTTTACTATCATCATTAGGTGCAGAAGAGTAGGATCCATAGAATAGGTAATAGAAGCTTTAAAAAGAATTATTTATCAAAATCAAAATCAAATGACTATTTCTTCATTTCTTAGGTTGTTGTGGATCCCCTCATGGAAGAAGCATTCTTTATTTTGGAAGAACAGACCAGTACGTTTGAGAAAGGGACGCCTATTAGCTTTCTGGTTTCATTGGAGACCACCATAAGACCCAACACAGTGATGCAAATTAATTTTGGAAATGAAGACCTTGAAGAAGTTTCTTTAGGAGAGCATCAGTGGAATAACCAAACCAAAGAATATGGATATCGTCTCGATTATTTAGGTCTTGTTGCTAGCTATGGAGAAGGCTGTAATCTGACCATAGAATTCCAATACCAGTATGATCAGCAGGGAGTTTTCATGCCATCCATAATGTTTGACAATCAAACAGAATCATTGACCATGCTGGATGAAAACATTATCATCCTCAATCGTCTGGTTGGATTAAAAATATTCTCACCCAAAACAACTGCTATCAATACTAGTACCGAATTCAAACTCATCTTTGAAAAGAGTTCCTTTAATATATCAGTGTTGTGGACCATTGCTGCTTCGTCAGGTGATATCTCTGATCAAATGAGATCCAATTCACCCCACTTACCTTACTTGTTTACCCATCCTGGTAGATACGTGATCCATGCTAATGTATCAAACGCCATAAGCAAAGTGTATTCAAGCTTTGATATATTGGTTCAGGTTCCAGTCAGCGAAATTGATATATCTTGCAAACCAGAACAATATTTAGTCAACGGATCCCAAATTTCATGTTATGTCCAGATTACCCATGGAACTCATGCATCTTTTGTGTGGAGCTTCAATGATCGTTATGGACTGACGTTTGTGGACACTTTTGACCTGACATCATACTCCAACCACACCTTCTCCCAACCGGGATCATATCAAGTTCAAATCACTATCTCTAATGATGTAAGTCACAGAACCAAGATTTATCCACTGGTAATAGGAGTTGAGAATATTCTTCATCAAGTCATGCTGATTCAACAATCGCCAACAGTTTTAGGAGAGTCGACACGATTTAAAGCTGGAACGCATGATACCACTCCCAACGCAGAAAACATCCAGTTTGAATTTGACTTTGGTTCTGGTCCCAAATCATTCAAGGGTGAACAAAAAGACGGAGAATTTGAAATGAGTCATAGATTTGATGAAGCTGGTATTTACAAAGTTGTGGTGTTCGCTAGGAATAACATATCAGAAGTCAGTACGTCTGTGATTGTGTATGTGGAGAAACCAGTAGATCATGGGATTGCTAGAATGTTACTTCCGGCTGTTGTCCATCTTGATTCCATCTTTATCATTACTTGTCAAGGTAAATACAGTTTTTTTTATGTTTCTTTGCTTGTTGGTTTGATGGTCATCTCTTAGTGACACCCATAAAACCAGAACCACGTATCGGGCATGAAAAATATTAACATCATCATCAGCTGTAGTCAGTATTGATTATTGCTATAAATATCAACATCATCCAAGGTACAGCTCTTGAGATAGAAGCGTTCAAAGTTTTAAGAAAATGGCAACATTTTTTGCTTTGACGTCATCAAGTGCGATATTATTTGAAACCATTAAATAAGTATATAAATAATCTGAAATAATATATTGCCGTCACCCATGTCCGTCCGTCCGTCCACAATTGCTCGTAAACTTTCTACAAGACGCAATTCTTGACGGATGTGGACAAAACTTGGTGTGAGTGTTTGTAATCACCCAAGGATGAACCCTATTGAAAATCAGAAGAATCGAAAAATATTTAGTATGAGTTATTGCCCTTGTTCTTGAAAACGCTTTCAATTTTTACCTCGTAAACACTATAGGAGGCACAATTCTTGACGGATTTTGACGAAACTTGGCATGAGTGTTTGTTATCACCAAAGGATAAACTCACTTGAAAATCAGAAAAATCGAAAACTATTTAGTATGAGTTATTGCCCTTGTTCTTGAAAACGCATTCAATTTTTAGCACATAAACACTCCAGAAGGCACAATTCTTGATGGATTTTGATGAAACTTGGTAATATTATTTAGTATCACTTCAAATAGTTCAAAAGAATTGTATGTCTAAAGGTAGAATATTTCATACTGGTAATTGTTACTGTACTGCTAAATATTTTTATTTAAAATCAAAGCTGCCAGTGGGTGTATATTACCTTGCTTGGCAAGCTATCTTTGCAAAAATGTTCCAATTTATATTCATTAGTTAAACATGGAATATGCAGATCCAATGCAATGCTAATATTGCAGTAACTATTACAGTTTCTGCTGAGTACTTGACAGAGACTCATACTTTTTTCGGAAGTATGAAAACAAACAGGGCATTCAAAGAACACCCTGCAGTGAAGGTCTGTCTGGTTTGGTTGTCATTTCAAAGAGGAGTACATGCTTCTATAACACTACAGCCCTAATTATATGCATGTTTACATTAGATATCTGTGATTCCTGTAAATATAGAAATGTTTTACCATATATGATGCTAATAGTATATAAGGGATTTATAATTGCTTAAGTTTAATAGCGGAAATGCAATAATGATAGATGTCTAACTGAAGTAGGAATGGTGCAAATCATGCTATCAGGGTCCCCAATACATCCTTTTAAAAATATCTGTCTTGGATTCCATTGGAATTTAAAATGATGATAAAGTATAATGTAATGTGAGAAGGGATATTTCTATGTACAGTGAATGTAAATATGGAATTTGTATTTTTCAGAAGAAATTTGCCAGAGAGATAACGTAATTTATAAATATCAGTTTGATGATATTGATGATGTCATAGTATCAAAATCTCCAGTCATCTTTCATAAATTTACGTCACCAAATCTTCACACTCTAAATTATACGATGTTCAACCAAGGTAAGTAACGACTATATATATATAGACTGACGATGGCTGCTATAGAACTTAGAAATGAGAGAGGGAGGGGTGGGGCACTCTAAGAGATTCTAAGAGCTAAACAAACTTGCTTTCTTCCTCTATCAGATGACCTTTCATTTTACCTTCTTTCATTTTCTTTCCTAATTTTTCCCATTTTTCCCTCTGGTCTTTGGGAGGGTGGGCAGTCTTTAGAGCAGCCACTTTATACTTATGAGAAAATATCATGTGGATGTATTGTATCAGATATATATTTTTATTTTCAAATGCTTATATGTAAAATAGTACTCAATACATCTATTGTAGAGAGATATAGAAATACCACTGTTAAAATAGTACTCAATACATCTATTGTAGAGAGATATAGAAATACCACTGTTAAAATAGTACTCAATACATCAATTGTAGAGAAATATAGAAATACCACTGTTAAAATAGTACTAAATACATCAATTGTAGAGAGATAGGGAAATACCACTGTTAAAATAGTGCTAAATACATCTATTGTAGAGAGATATAGAAATACCACTGTTAAAATAGTACTCAATACATCTATTGTAGAGAGATATAGAAATACCACTGTTAAAATAGTACTCAATACATCAATTGTAGAGTGATATAGAAATACCACTGTTAAAATAGTACTCAATACATCTATTGTAGAGAGATATAGAAATACCACTGTTAAAATAGTGCTCAATATATCAATTGTAGAGAGATATAGAAATACCACTTTAAAAATAGTGTTCAATACATCAATTGTAGAGTGATAAAGAAATACTACTGTTAAAATAGTGTTCAATACATCTATTGTAGAGAGATATAGAAATATCAGTGTTAAAATAGTACTCAATACATCTATTGTAGAGAGATATAGAAATACCACTGTTAAAATAGTACTCAATATATCAATTGTAGAGAGATATAGAAATACCATTTTAAAAATAGTGTTCAATACATCAATTGTAGAGTGATAAAGAAATACTACTGTTAAAATAGTGCTAAATACATCAATTGTAGAGAGATATAGAAATACCACTGTTAAAATAATACTCAATACATCAATTGTAGAGAGATATAGAAATACCACTGTTAAAATAGTACTCGAAACATCAATTATAGAAAGATTTAGAAATACCACTGTTAAAATAGTACTCAATACATCAATTGTAGAGAGATATAGAAATACCACTGTTAAAATAGTACTCAATACATCAATTGTAGAGAGATATAGAAATACCACTTTAAAAATAGTACTCAATACATCAATTGTAGAGAGATATAGAAATACCACTGTTAAAATAGTGTTCAATACATCTATTGTAGAGAGATATAGAAATACCACTGTTAAAATAGTGTTCAATACATCTATTGTAGAGAGATATAGAAATACCACTGTTAAAATAGTGCTTAATACATCTATTGTAGAGAGATATAGAAATACCACTGTTAAAATAGTGCTCAATACATCAATGGTATAATGATGTAGAAATACTACTGTTAAAATAGTGTTCAATACATCTATTGTAGAGAGATATAGAAATACCACTGTTAAAATAGTACTCAATACATCAAGTGTAGAGAGATATAGAAATACCACTGTTAAAATAGTGTTCAATACATCTATTGTAGAGAGATATAGAAATACCACTGTTAAAATAGTGCTTAATACATCTATTGTAGAGAGATATAGAAATACCACTGTTAAAATAGTGTTCAATACATCAATTGTAGAGAGATATAGAAATACCACTGTTGAAATAGTACTCAATACATCAATTGTAGAGAGATATAGAAATACCACTGTCAAAATAGTGCTCAGTACATCAATGGTATAATGATGTAGAAATACCATTGTTAAAATAGTGTTCAATACATCTATTGTAGAGAGATATAGAAATACCCCTGTTAAAATAGTGCTCAGTACATCAATGGTATAATGATGTAGAAATACCATTGTTAAAATATGTAGAGAGATATAGAAATACCACTGTTAAAATAGTACTCAATACATCTATTGTAGAGAGATATAGAAATACCACTGTTAAAATAGTACTCGAAACATCAATTGTAGAGAGATATAGAAATACCACTGTTAAAATAGTACTCAAAACATCAATTGTAGAGAGATATAGAAATATCACTGTTGAAATAGTGTTCTATACATCTATTGTAGAGAGATATATGTTCAGTCATTTTCTTAGGGATGTGGGTCTGGGTATTAAAAATGATCATTTATATGCAATTAGTACAAAAATGACAGAATTTTTAAAAAAATATCCAGATTTATGCAAATTGGCAACATACTCACTGTACACATAGGTACTGATTTGGATATGTAAATAAAGACATCAGAGTAAGTCAGTGGACTTGAAGGAAACTAAAAGAGGCAGTAGAATGACAAATGAGTTTATTGATATTTTGCTTTGGCCTTTAAACACATTTCAGCAATTATAACATCTAAATTACCAGATAATTGATAGTGAGTAGATTTCAAACAAATATTACTCAGTTAGTCAAGAGCTTCAGTCAGTACACTCTGTTTTTACAATGACACCTTCATAGGTACATAGCCTTTTTTTAAAATTTGTATAATTGTATATGTGTATAATTGCCAACATTTTGGATTATGGAAATTACAACAAAACTATCAGTTGGAATATAAAACATTTGACAGAATTTATTTTCATTTATAGGATTGACCTAATAGTGTTCATCAGAATTTGACATCATTCAGGTTTCCGACATGTTTTGTCATAGTTTGCTCCTTACATTTAGATATTGAAACATGGCCATAATGAAACTCTTACTAAAGTTTATTAAATTTGATATTTAACTTAATGGAACATCTTCTCAACTTGAATCTGAAATTTGTATGAATGTTCATACTGTAATGAGCCTTCTTTAGGGATTTTAAATTCCTTCTTTTTTTTTTGTCTAAATCAGGCCCTATTCCTGGGAAAAGGGTAACAGACTTTGTTTTCTAACTCTTGGCTAACCACATACTAAATGTAATATGAAAATTTTCTGTGCAACAGGAAAGATATTAGCAATGATGTGAGAAAATAAACTATAGAGGGTATTTATTGACAAATTTTTCTCGAATTTTCTTTTGCACTACTTGTAACAAAACACAAATGCAGTTGAAAATTTCTATTTTCAAAATTTGATACCATTCTTAGCCGAAACTAATTGAAATAATTATGCTTCTTGATATGAATTTATAATATTTGTATTGTAATTTCCGGTCTTAATAATGATATGTTGGTACTTGGAAGATAACAATATATTTACAATCCCTTCTTTCTTGTCTAACTTCAATACTGTAATCTTTATAACCTTTATTTATTACTACTTTACATGAATATTCTCTACCAGTCCTTGTCTCAAAACCTTAAGGGAGTTGTAAAGAGGTTTTCTAGACTTTTATGTTTATTGGAAACACTGATAGCATCGATTTGCACCATTTTTCAGTCAGACGTCTGTGGTTCTTGCACTTCTACTAAAACTAAACATTTTATGGTGTCACCATGACAAAGAACTTAAGGTATTTTTAGCTACTGACGTCTGACTGAAAATTAGAATGGTGCAAATCAATGCTATCGTTGTCACTGATACTGATATCAAGATTAAAAACAAATATCTTACTAACCCTTTAATATTTGTTATCAATTTTAGATCTCATATATTTTCTTATCTACACTGGAAGTTAGTGTTTAATGACATGATTGTTCATTGCACACTTCTTGGCATTGTCAACCTCGTAAGCCTTTTCAGGTGCAGAATAGCAGGGTGTAAAACTCCATTTCATTTCATATCATTATATTTCAATTCAGGGTATATGATGTTTCAGTTTATTTACATTCAATGTTCAAGGTATACTTTTTCGACCTATTCAGACTTTAATCAATTATGCTTGGTCAGTAAATTTTGCGATCTAGTGAAATATTTTACAAGGTCTATAAATCAGTTATAAAAAGATATAATAAATAACAATAATTTAGACTATTTACTTCTAAAAATCCATATAAAACTTTTAGAGACACTGGTAGTTATATTTTCTATGATCAATAAACTCATTTCACATTCTACTGTTTCTTTTTCTTACCTTAAAACCTATTTAATACTGTCTTTACTTACTTCTTAAAGCATTGAAAATAAAGATATATATATATATGATACCTTCACATGATTAAAATATCAAAGTTAAGAAGTGCAGACATGAGAACAAGAGATCTAGAGCTATTTGTCAAACTTCAGTAGAAATCAGTAGAAATTGATCAGTTGTCTGAAGATCACTTCTTGTCAAACTTCAGTTGGGATATGAGCTGAAATTGATCAGTTGTCTGAAGATCACTACTTGTCAAACTTCAGTTGGGACATGGGCTGAAATTGATCAGTTATCTGAAGATCACTACTTGTCAAACTTCAGTTGGGACATGGGCTGAAATTGATCAGTTGTCTGAAGATCACTACTTGTCAAACTTCAGTTGGGACATGGGCTGAAATTGATCAGTTGTCTGAAGATCACTACTTGTCAAACTTCAGTTGGGACATGGGCTGAAATTGATCAGTTGTCTGAAGATCACTACTTGTCAAACTGCAGTTGGGACATGGGCTGAAATTGATCAGTTGTCTGAAGATCACTACTTGTCAAACTTCATTTGGGACATGAGCTGAAATTGATCAGTTGTCTGAAGATCACTACTTGTCAAACTTCAGTTGGGACATGGGCTGAAATTGATCAGTTGTCTGAAGATCACTACTTGTCAAACTTCAATTGGGACATGGGCTGAAATTGATCAGTTGTCTGAAGATCACTACTTGTCAAACTGCAGTTGGGACATGGGCTGAAATTGATCAGTTGCCTGAAGATCACTACTTGTCAAACTTCAGTCGGGACATGGGCTGAAATTGATCAGTTGTCTGAAGATCACTACTTATCAAACTTCAGTTGGGACATACATTGAATTAGATCAGTTGTCTGAAGATCACTACTTGTCAAACTTCAGTAGGGATACAGTCTGAAAATTGATCAGTTGTCTGAAGATCACTACTTGTCAAACTTCAGTAGGGATACAGGCTGAAAAGTGATCAGTTGTCTGAAGATCACTACTTGTCAAACTTCAGTTGGGACATGGGCTGAAATTGATCAGTTGTCTGAAGATCACTACTTGTCAAACTTCAGTTGGGACATGGGCTGAAATTGATCAGTTGTCTGAAGATCACTACTTGTCAAACTTCAGTTGGGACATGGGCTGAAATTGATCAGTTGTCTGAAGATCACTACTTGTCAAACTTCAGTTGGGACATGGGCTGAAATTGATCAGTTTTCGGAAGATCACTACTTGTCAAACTTCAGTTGGGACATACATTGAATTAGATCAGTTGTCTGAAGATCACTACTTGTCAAACTTCAGTAGGGATACAGGCTGAAAATTGATCAGTTGTCTGAAGATCACTACTTGTCAAACTTCAGTAGGGATACAGGCTGAAAATTGATCAGTTGTCTGAAGATCACTACTTGTCAAACTTCAGTTGGGACATGGGATGAAATTGATCAGTTGTCTGAAGATCACTACTTGTCAAACTTCAGTTGGGACATGGGCTGAAATTGATCAGTTGTCTGAAGATCACTACTTGTCAAACTTCAGTTGGGACATGGGCTGAAATTGATCAGTTGTCTGAAGATCACTACTTGTCAAACTTCAATTGGGACATGGGCTGAAATTGATCAGTTGTCTGAAGATAGCACAGTGTGAAACTCAAAATATGTATTTGTACTTTATTAGTAATTGTGAAATGAAAAGAGTTATCATGTTTTCTGAGACACCCTGTATATAAGCAATGTGTAGGCTAACCAGAATATATTTAGAACATCCTGGTGTAACACACAGGAAACCCAATCTACTGGGTGGGGCAAACAACAACTTTCTTTTATTATTACAATAGAAACTTATCAAAACCTCCCTCTGAACTTCAATCTGTTTCAACTTTATTATAATCTCTTTTATCCAGTCTCCATCTTACAGTATTTAATCCTTTTTATCCAGTCCTTTTCTTACCCCCTTTATCTCTATTGTTCAGTCTCTTTCTTACCTAGTTTAATCTCTCGTATCCAGTCTCCAGATCTTGGACAAGTTCGAATTTGACGCTGAATGTTTTTTTAGTTATTGCCCTTGACTTATGATAGAGACTACAGTTTTCATCCGATTTTAATGCAATATGGTGTGATCATTTATAATGATGAAAAACTTAGTCAAGATTGGATTTGATGATTTTTCAATCAACAGAATTTGAGTTATTGCTCTTGACTTAATAAAAATGCATCAAAATTTGTTGGCTTGTTAACGCCATAGAGGCGACAGTTTATGTCTGAATTTTATTAAATTTGGTGAGTTTGATTAAATCAATATCTTGCAAAAATTATATTTTTGGTATGATTTGACACAGATTGGTGTCCTGTTTCTTACCCCATTTTTCTCTTTTATCGAGTCTGTTTCTTACTGTTTTCAATCTCTCATATTCAATATCTTTTGTGCACTGTTTAATCTCTTTCATCCAGTCTCTTTCTTAACTAGTTTAACTCTTTTATCCAGTCTCTTTCTTACCCTACTTGCCTTTCATCTGTTTGATGAACCTTGTTCATCCACATGTTTTTCTTGTTTTTTCAGTTGGTAGTGTGTCTGAGCAATTTAAGTTTGAAATTGTTAAAATTTTAATTGCGCCAAAAGTCATTCATCATGCCATTGTTTCAGTTGGTGAGGAGGTGGATTTTAGGATCATTGTGAGTATTACTTTTTGGATTTGGTTAAAAACTAAAATTATGAATTTGTATTAATTACCTCTGGGACCAATTCCTAGGAAAATGTCTATACCTGGTTATTAGATGATGTATGTAATAAGCCTGAAGCGTTACTTTCTCAGACTTGGCCAGTAAGACTTAACTGGTGTAAATCTTTAGAACAAAATCTCTTTAAATTCTTAGGTCTAAGTGTTTTTGAGTAATTGCTTGTAGTTTTATGGATTTATATGATTATACAGGGATTCTGTTGTATAGGTAGGACACCAGGTAAGTCAACTGATGAATATATATTCTTATTGACCAAGTTTGAGATTTTAAATTTTATGTTCATTCTAAGAGGTAGTATACCTTTAAGTGAAAACTAAGTAAAGTATGTGAATGTTTGATATTGTAGGGTATAGAGTACTGGGAGAGAATAACTAGTAACTATAATGACAATACAGAGGATATCCAACTCTACCCTATAGACAGGTCAGTTCCTTTTTCTTTCATAACATTCAGGGTCAGACTGAAGGGTAAGTACCAGGGCCCATAGTGGTCAACAAATTTTTGGAAAGATTATCTTTTGTTTGGTGTTTTAAATTGTTATTGAGTGCTTGTTTCATATCTTCACAATTTTTGATATGTTTAAATTCAAGGGTCACACCACCTGCTTTCCGTGTCTCTTACCTAGAAAGATTACCCATTAATCTGAGGTTCAAGAACTGCTCAGTCCACCCTTGTGTACATCGTTATCTTTCAATTTCCAAAATTTGAGCTTTGAATTGTATTTAATCTCTTATTTCACAAATATTCAAACTAATATAGTTTAAATAGCATGACATATAATGTTTTTGGGTCCATAGAATTTGCTAAAATTTAAATACAAAGTTGTATATTTTGTAAGATAAATCATAAATCTTATTAAAGATAAGAAGAACATAAAATAGAGTAGGGTTAGGTAGCCAGCTTAAAGCACTTGTACTGACCATTGACTTCTTTGGCTTTTTTTTTAATTCAAAATTTGTTCCCATATGTCTGTCCATCTTGTGTTCATATATTTGATGAGAGTAAGATAATCTGTCTATCTAATATTGTGTATTTTTAAACAACAGAACAATATTTTGTAAATCTTTCTTTTCATATCATTCATTATATTATCCCCATTATATTAACACCTTTTAGTACCGAATAGTATCAAATTCATGCGTCTCTTCACTACCGAACGTTAAACGGTTTAAACGATATTTTTAATATTTACATGCTTTTCTTTTCATTAAGAAATCCCATTGTGACTTAAAAATGCAACGTTTCAGCGATGTATCAAGTTGGATGCGGACTGCTTTGGTACCGTGGCACGGCTCAAGTTATTATTATTATTAATATAGGGATTGATAATATATTTGAAATATACACGCTTTCCTCCAAGACATATCCTGTGAAAATGACCCACATTGACCCACAAAGATTCTTTTACATAGAGTAGTATTTTTATCAACAATCTACTTGTTTCATTTCTACTCTTCTCAAAATTTTGTTTGTTGCACACTGATTTATTATATAGAAAGAATCGTCACTTCCAAAAATACTGATAAAACTGATCAGACACCTGTATTTATAAATTTGGTAGTCATTTAGGGTACAGACGGGCACCCCCAGCAAAATGGTTTGTATTCCCATGTTATTTCTCACAAATTTCAAATGTGAGTTTTGTATGTTTTTGCCCAAATATATGTGCCAGAATGCACCGAATCAAATCAAGTTTTTCAAATTTTCTTGGCGGACAAACCCTCTCAGGTGCTCCAAGAGTGGCGTCTACAGAGCTGCTGAATTTCAACCTCAACAGTTGTCCCTAGTCTCTGGAGGCTGGCATCGCCACTGTTGAAAATAAAGATAGATATATATATGACATTTCTTTTGCCGGTTATTATATTTTCTGGTGGCCCCAATATACATTGGATTGTAGTTATGTGTTTCATTATTTAAATAGACATCTTATTACTAAATGACAAATAGCAGTATAAAAATAGCATGGCCACGACCTTGAAAACTTGAACCATGATGTACCTAATATATCATAACCTGGTATGTAGATATATATATATATATATATTTAATATATTAAAGGAATTGTAAAACAGATTTATAGCTTTTTATGTGTATACATCCCATTTATGACTTCTATTAGAACCATTGGAATTTTTCATCAGATGTCTGTGGTTCCTGTAATTATAGAAATGCTGATAATAATTTCTAATACCCTTCAGTCTAATTAAGTTGAGACTAAAGTTTTGTTCTGTTTTTTATTAGTTTTTGTTTTTAATTTAGCCACTTCAGTTAAGGTCTATTGACAGCCCTCTTGAACATTCATCCCTTGATGACACCACCAGCCAATCAAATTTCTTCCCTCTCCAACACTGAGATTTTGTAACATAAACAAAAGGTGTATTTTGAGATGCATTACAACTTAATATAATTAAAATCTACTAGAGAAAGAGAAAATATATAAATGTGTATGTGAGAAGTTAAAGGGACAGATTTGACATTTTTGGATGTTGTTTTGTGTCTTGAATATATGTAAATAGTCTTCATAAGTACTTTGTACAAAAATCACATTTCTTTTCTCAACATGACTGAGTCTCAAGAAAAGACAAGTTGTCATTTTAACATTCAAACACTTCTAGTTCTTGAGACACATGGATTTGAAGGCTAAAATTTCAACAGTGATCTGTGAACACTATTACTGATTGGCTTAGCTAAAAAAAATTACCGTTTCTGAGACTAAAGTACAATTGGTTAAAGGGATGGGAAACCTGTACCTTTAACTATTGTTATCTAACTATAAACCTGAGAGAAAACTGATTAATCTTGAAAAATATAATACACAGATCTTTTGTTGTGATCAGGTTTTAAATATTGACTGTATATTCATGTTTTACTGAATGTTAAATGTGTGAATGTACAACAAATCTTATCCATCTCATAACAAACTGAACACAACTAAAGCCTGAATATGATTTTAGTGGACACTGTGGGAGTTTTGACGAGTCTAAAACAGGTACACAATGATTATTTCTTTCTGGCTATATATATATTTGGGCCATCAATTTACATCATGAATATTTTCAGTCGGATTCCTGTGGCATTTTCAATTCAACTAAAACTAAGGTTTTTGTGACAGCACTATTGTAAAAGCTGTTAGATGTTATAGGTAGTTTATATACGCCCACATGGAAATGTGGACGTATATTGCTGTCGCCCCTGTCCGTCCGTCCGTCCACATTTGTTGTATGCACGATAAAAGCTGCAATTTGTATCCGATCTTGATGAAACTTAGTATGCACGTATATATTGATGAGATCTCGGTCAAGGTTGAAATTGGTACTAATCAGATGAATGGTTTCACAGTTATTGCCCTTGACTTAGTAAAAATGCGTTAAATTTGGCTTGTATGCACGATAAAGGCTACAGTCTTTATCTGATCTTGATTAAACTTAGTATGCATATATATATTGATGAGATATCGGTCAAGTTCGAAATTGGTAATAATCGGATGAATGGTTTTAGAGTTATTGCCCTTGACTTAGTTAAGACGTGTTAAATTTGGCTTGTATGCACGATTAAGGCTGCAATTTTTATCTGATCTTGATGAAACTTAGTATGCTTGCAAATATTGATAAGACCTCAATCAAGTTCGAAATTGGTAATAATCTGATGAATGATTTCAGGGTTATAGAGACTGCATTATCCGATCTTGAATAAACTTGGTATGAGACCTAAGTAAAGCTTGAAATTAGTGCAAATGGATGATTGGTTTCACATATTAAACCGCTACAGACTTTGTTATCATTTCTGACAGCTGATAGTGGGTGTATGTTATCTTGCCTGGCAAGCTATCTTTGTATTAGTGATGTCATTTGATGCTTAGTTTAAGTAAGGATTGAATGTAGATCAACCAATGAACACAGAATTTTCACGTTTTAATTCAAATGAATGAAAATTTGGTGTTCATCAACCAATGAACGCAAAAAAATTATTGCCGTGATATAGTTAAACCTATCATTATTATCAGAAAAATGGGGAAAAACAGCAAAATAACTCCTGTCAATTAACTTCAAGCCCTGTCCCTTCGTTGCTAGGCTGACGATGGTGTATGAATACACAACACAAATATTATAGTACAAGGGTTATTGCATCCCTAATTTTAAAAAAAATGTTAGAAAAGATTGTCTGTAAGAGAAACAAATCACTTTGTAATTCAACACAAACTCGGAAACCAAGATTTGGTCCATCACCTCGTCTAGTTTTAATTGAGAGTTTTTGTGTATTCCTACGCCGAATCTCAAGTTGTCACAGGAGATGACATCAGAGGTCACTAAAGAAATTTTTAGTTCATCTGTAAATGAATGTAGCACGTGACAATAAAATGTAAATATGTTAAAATAATTAATAATAAATAAGAAATTGATATTTACTGCAATGAAATTTAAAATGGAAATATTAACATGGTTTCAATAATTATCTGTGATATTTCAAGGTGTAATTTCTGTGAATGAAATTGTTCGTCTGATATATTTTATATAAGATCTATGTGGAATGTTAGATTTGGGTGGATTATTTATAGAAACTTGTATGTATTCTATTTGGATTTCACCAACTCTAACCTCTGACATTTATCACACGTTATTCTAATATGTGCTTGTTTCTCTTACAGCTGGAACCACACATTTCATGCTACAGGCGTCCTCCATCTTGCTTTTTCCATTTATGGACTGAAGGGTAACGAGACCATCATTGAGTCGTACATTAGTGTACAAGAGCCAATCAGAGACTTGAAAATAACGGGACCGTCTGCTGTTGGGATAAAACGGTAAATAAACTTTTGTTTCCTTTGTTACTCTGTTGCAACGCTGAACTGTTTCTTCATGTACTTGACTTTCACATGTTGACATGGCAACCACCCTCATCTGGTATCAGATGACTTTATGATATAATGATGAAGTCAAAGTCGGCAGGTCTTGACATAGAAACACAGGTAGGTTACCTTTTCCTTTTTTTTTTCATCTAATGGAACGGATTGAATTACAGATTATTTAACACACTTGTTGTTGCAGGGATTTTTTCGTTTCAATACCAGAGGAAGTGAGTCGTGGAGATTTCTAGTTTTGTTTGTTTTCTTGTTGCCAGGTGCCAATTCCAACACCTGGTTACCTAGCAACGTGTTTTATCTGATATGATATCTGATTTTATATTAGAAAGTTACTGGAATATTGGGTCAATCTTATCAAATTGCTGATATTTATCTTCATGAGTTCATTATCTTGTTCCAAACATTGGCTTTTCTATGGGAGGGCGAGGTAATATTGGGGCTCAGTAGCCTAACTAGATCAGTCAGGGGCCAGTGGGCTAATCTAGGTTGGAGCCCCACCACTGGGAATTATTTTATTAAACATATTCTTTACTGCATTCTGAGACCTCTCTGAAAGTCAATTTAATGCTTGTTGATATTTTTTCTGAGAGTAGGGACCCCTCTGTGTATTTGTTTCAACCTGTCCCTATGGTAGTTGAGACTGGCCCCGCCCACACTAAATTACATAGGGGAAGAATTGACTCACCTCGGGTTGCCTTACTGAAGAGCATATGTTTTGACAGCTGAGAAATGGTCTCAATCATTGCCAGAAACAAAGATCTAAGAATTTTATTATTGTTAAAACTCTTAGTTAAAATCTTTGATTCCAGTCGTTATTTATTTTATTTGGGGGGTGAATTAAGATGTG